TCGGCCAATGGACGCATGTACATTGAGAACAATAATGGCCCTAAAACAGAGCCCTGTGGAACACCGGTTTCTAATATAGACGAACCATACTTGCAGATGTTTTCTTCTTAACTTGTGTGTTAATTTTGCCTGGAATCCTAACTCATCCTTTCTGATGAGCCCAACTATCTGAGTTCATAAATAAACGCATAAACTCTTTCATTGAAGAAAATAAAATATTCAAAAACAACCAGGCCAGCTTAAGAAAAAAACACAGAACAACTGATCAAATTTTTGTATTAAAAACTCTAATTCTAACTCTAAACATTTTGCCAAAGCATTCAACACGGTATGGAGAGTAGGGCTATTCTATAAGCATTTAAAAAATAACATTAATGGCAAGATTTACAAAATAATAAAAAATATGTATTAAAAAAAAAACTTGCATTAATATAAACCAAAGAATTAAAAAAAAATCAAATTTTAAAAACTTGAAAATAAATATGCCAGTTTCTGGAAAGAAATGATTTCGAAAGAAAATAGCAAACTGAGAACATATGCTAAATTTAAAAAAAGAATACATTTTTTAGCCATATTTGAATGAAATTGACACTCATAAGAGGAAAATGTTGACAAAATTAGTAACCATAACTTAGCAATAGAGGAAGGCAGATATTCATTTCCTAAGAAACCTAAAAAAGAATATGCAATAACTGTGACACAAATTCAATTGAAGATGAAGAACATTTTCTATTGAATTGCCTAAAATATAACACACACAGGGAAAACTTCATCCAAAAAATTATGACACTTTCATTCAAAAATAAAAATATACAGTTCACATATATACTTTCAAGCAAAGATCATGGCATAATTATAGAACTTGCCAATTATATTTACACAACAAAAAGATTGATTTAACATTTAAATACTAGTTACGTTCTTTTTTTTTTATACAAAATTTTCACATATATTTTGTTATTATTTTAAAACTCTTTTTTGCTTTACTTATCCTATGTAAGCCCAAAATAGAATTAGAAAGTAGACACTGTAAAAAATATAACACTGAAGCATTAGGAGATGAAAAACATTTCCTGTCCTGCTATTTTGTAACTGTTTGATGAGTGTGCAATAAATATTTACACAATGGATGCGAGTTCCATATTTCAAAAGATTATGGAGAATACTATAGCCTTTTCTTAGCAAAATATTTGAAGAGCACAATTTTTAAAACCACAGTAATTAATTTATTTTTTTCGTTTATTTTACTAACATTTTTCTTATATTTTATCTCTTTAGAATTTTATTGTTATTGTATTTCTTTGTATTTATGTTCTTACCATACAAAAACCCTCTGAAGGTTTTTAGTGGTGTAATAAGGTTATTATTATAATAAAGTTGCCCAATGCAATTGCATCAGCACGGTAACATTACTAGAAGATGTAACCGTGTAATCAGTGAATAAAAAGATAGTCACATACAAAAGAAGTGCACTACTGCATAAAGTCAAAAAAAAAAAACCAAAAGACCAAGTGATACGACATGCTGAGAAAATTTAAGGCAAATATAAACCGCGAAATGGGATAAGTGCCAGTGATAATGGTAACTTTGTATGTGCTAACAACGGGTGGTCGAGAATGTAGTTGTAGCAACAGCGATATTATGACAGGCGACGTTTAGATTCCAAGGTTTTGCGGGAAGTCCTGAGAGCAAACCAAACTTTACTTACCCCAATTGCCCTGGAAAGACAGCTGAAATAAAAAAATAGCATCCAGGTTAATTACTGGGTAAACAACGTCATGTCGGACAACACACTACTATTTACTAATGCAACTCGGCCAGTCCTTGAATGAAATCCGGAAATCAATGGTCGACATTCGGATCTGTTGCTGGATAAACACGAAAAATATATCGACGTACCTCAGCTCCTCCCAAGTGTAAAAATGTCTATTCTTCGGAAATTTAAGGTGCATGTCTTAGAATTACTTGTCCTGATAAGTCACCTGCAAACGGTTACCATTTTGTCACTTAGGGCCCTGGAGTATGCACCGAAAACAGGCAAATCGTACATATAACAACCACGTTTTGGAGTCAAAACACAACCGGCCGCTCTGTGTGCTGTTCAATAAGCGTCACATTGACACGCTGGGAAATATTATTTCGGTCCATCTTATTGCAAGTAACTAGTCGGAGATGAATTGTTAGTCGCATCAAAGACAACTGTTTCACGTGAGAAGAAATTTTGAAAAAATAAATTGTATGCATAGTCAATATAAACAAAGTATTTTCAAATATTCTATTTTATTTCCAGCTATTTTATCTAGTAGTATCAATAAACAGAAAAGCGGTTGTAATTTGACCAATAAGATAATTCGTTGTAAGCATGCCTACTTTTCAGCTTTGGTTTCTGTGATTGGATAATTTAATTTTGCTCACGAAAAGGAGGTTATGACGTAAACGAGCTGTACCTACGTCAGTAAAATCACATGCCCCGAAGCTATTTGTATACTTTTATATCCAGACGCTTCTAGATTTAGCTTTATATGGGCAATTCATTTCCATATTTGGTTATCCAGGGATTTCCTGACCTCCATGTACGTGAAATACGTGCAAGACGGCTGAACAAACCGGTTGGAAGCAGAATCAGGCTTTCGTATATGCAAATTAACGGAGACTATAAATGATAGGTAAAGCCGGCATTTCATTCATAAAGCCGCCGCATGAAGACAACGAAGTCGAAAAAATGGAGAAAGGAAAGAAGATCGGTGCCGGGACAGGTGAAGATCTGTACTGAAGAAGCCGTCTACGAAGACCTGATGGGATATTACTGCTTTAATCGCTTTCTCTCTCGCTCACCGACGACGCGCACAATACTAGCTGCGGATTCACATTGTCAAACTAGTATGAACTCGTAGCTCGTATCGCCGTGCCGCCCTGGGCTGGAGGGACCTGTCATCGTAAACCGGCTATATCGTATCATATCGTATCATGGATTGTAATGTCGCCGAAGCTTTTAGTATTTATTATCGGACGGATGTACATTGTCTAAGCCCTTTTCGGAGTGTGCCCACGATGAAAACATGGCTTCTCTTCCCGTGCTGTCCATGACCCGTACTATATATAGTACAGGACGTATTAAACTAGTCCATGTGCATAAGTGGATAATAATATTTCGCGACCGGATTTATTTTGTGTGCGACCCATACCACTGCAGTGTCGTCCATTATGGTACTTCTCAAACATCGCATTCCATTGCCACTGCCATTGCAATTAATTTGCGCAGCCCACCCCAGATTAAATTTTCTAAAACATCCGACATTACCGATTGTCACCTAGGCACGTAGTCTAAACACGTTTATCTGACTTGACTGCCCCTACGTGTTCGATGTCACTATCCAGGCCGGGAAGGGAGTTGCCGGAGCATTGCACAACAATTTTTATGTATGTTGTGCGTGCGACAGCGACTTCCGTCCGCCTGATACTTTACCACAGAATGATAATAAATAACAAATGAAAATTAAGAAATGAATAAAAAATAAATCCCCCGATTTAAGTCAAACTTTTTGACACACTCTCTACCATACATTTACAGGGCAGTGTTCATTTAAGTCAGACAGTGTTTCAGTCATGACTAATAGCTTTATTTCAAAACCCGGTGTTAAAAAATATCCATAATCCTGAAACCATATATGCACACATTACTAATGTCTGTATAACAACCGCATGTCTGTTATCTAGGTCGTGCGTAATTGTGGTTACTGTAGTGACATGTGACGTCTGTATGCTGACGTCAATGCCTTCAAGAGAACAACGCCCAATGACGTACGTAGTACAACCAGATCGCTCTAGTTCTGAAATAACATCACTTTGCCCTACATCCGTAGATACGTATACCCTTGTCTCAAAGAAGCAATTGTGGTTTTACGAATATATATATAGTAAAATATATTCGAACTAATTATTAGTCATTCCACGATAGAAGTCGGTCAGTGCAAAATGTGTAAAAAATAAACTAAAAACCAAAAATAGGAATGGATCGTGGATACATTATAGTACATTATAATACATGATGGCATCGCCATGGAGACTCCATGGTAACACGAACGCCACTGTACTTGCGTCACGGG